GCGAGTCCGGCATCGAGACATTCAACATCAAATTTAAAAACGATGATACACTACAAAAGTGGCACAACTTGATTGAGACTCAACGGTCGGCTTGTATGCTGGAGTCTAAGGCCAGAGGCATCTCGGAAACCCATCTTCTTTCCTTGCAAGGAGCGAACCTGGAAAACCCATATCTCACACAAGAGGAGGACGATGATTATAGCAGACTTTCCTCAACAACCTATGGCGGGACTGATGCAAACGGATATTCCGAATTTAGCATGAGCAGAAATGCCTCGAGCACGAGTCTCAGGTCACGTTCCGCCACAGGAGGCAGTGGTGGCAGCGGCCCTCAGATGTCAGCGAACCGCATGCGGGTGCCCGCCGGGGAAATAGGCGCACTTTCATTGAATACTCGAGGACTTCCCAGCGCATCTCCACATGAATTCAACGGTGGCTCGTATTTCTCTCCCATTGACCGAGATACCCCCCCGGGTTCCACAATCTCAGCTCGGTCCAGCTCCCAATCCGCATTTGCAGGTTATCACCGAGGGACTACTCCAGTCAGCGGCGGCATGTACCCTCCGGAGTCACATCGAAATACTGCTCCCGCCATGGCGCGAAACCCCAACGGCCAAACAAGTGGGAACCCATACCTGGCAAACGGTCGAAGTCGAGGACAGTCATCTGGCCCAGCAATGCAAGTGCCTCGCATGCGGTCCGCGAGTAGTCCTGATGTGCACCCAATGGTTCAACAGAGTCGCAAGTATACTTCGACCGAGCATGTCCCAACTGTGCCGCCGATACCCGCTCACATGGCCAAGCAGATGGCTCCTCCGAGCAGGAGTCAGAACAATTCGCCCAACAACGCGCCTCCATCACGAGGAAGCACTCCTCATCAGCAGTTTGGGCTACCCTCGGCGCCGCGGCCTCCCATGCCGGGTCATGGCTATAGTTATGATCCATCGTATAACAATGATCCCAGGCGACCTGGACATGCACCGTCATTATCACAAGGCCGGGCTTTCTCGCCTCCCATATCATCGCCCTCCAGCGATGGGGAACCCTATATCCCCAGTCAGCTTAAAGCCAAGGTCTGCTTTGATGAGAATTATGTCTCGATGATCATTGCCAGCAATATTCAGTTCAGATCATTGGCCGATCGTATAGATGCGAAGCTGGCACGGTTCACGAATCATTCGATTGCCTCTGGATCTGTTCGTTTGCGTTATCGGGATGAAGATGGCGATTTCATTCTTATCGACAGTGACGAGGCGGTCCATGAGGCTTTGTTGGATTGGCGTGAGACGCAAGCTGCGAACTCGGCGAACCCGCAAAATGCAGAGCTATTGTTGTTTGCACATGCTACACATGGCGAGTCCATCGTGAATGGTTGAGGTAAACGCAAGATTGTGTGCAACACGCAAAATCCGACAGAACCAAGATTTCTGCAGTCGAGGAGTCTCCAGTTCCTGCTCATCACGAATGACCGAGGTCAATTATAACGCGGTGGCGTTCCATCCTCATTCCAGCATGTATACGCTCCAGTGAGGAGATTGATATGCTGCGCCGACTAATTACATCCCTACAAAAGAGGGGCAAGAGTACACTGAGACGAGCTATGACGTGATGGGTTATGATGTTGGATATGGTTAAAGGAACAAGAAAATGCAACGGAGTACAGGGGAACGGCAATGCTATGGCGATTCAAGATAGTGAAAGCCTATCGAGGGCAGGAGGGGGAACTCGTTAATAGGGGCGAGACTACTCGATCTCACTCATGGATACTCGATTGTCAGAAATTGGCAATACATTATCATCATCTTCTGTGTTGCCCGCAGTTGCTATAAGCCAAATGCTTCTGAGCTGATGTGAGCCATCTGTATCTCGTCCTGACATGTACATAAAGTTCCCTTGTAACACATCTACTTGACACACCTGTGGTCGTCCAGATCCGCCAAATACCTGCAGAACTTTCAAGACTAAGGCCCCTTTGGCCATCATATGTATCCTGACGGTATAGTGCTTTGAGGCCGAGACAAAGAGGTTGCGACACATTAACATGCATGTTCCCCCTTGAATCATGATTGAATTGAACACCAGTGATCGGTGATCGTTGGTCGGTGATGCAGGCACAGATATGCTAGACTAGCTAGCTGGATAGGGAGGAAAGATGGCTATTTACATACATGGTATTTATTTTAGCTAGTTCCATTGTTGTGGTGTTGATGTTGAGATAGAGAGAGAGAGAGAGAGACAAACACACACAGACATGTAGTCAGACAGACTAGTGCATTTGTATCGCCGCATCGAGAGCTCAGGTGCCAGGCCAAGGGAAAGAAGGTACACAGAAGGAGAGAGGTAGGGGCAGAGGCGGAGAGAGAGAGAGAGAGAGAGAGAGATTGCAGACGTATGCGTGAGAACAAGTGATTGAGAAAGTGATGATGGATGACAGAGCCAATAAATCATCATCACCATCATCATCATCATCATCACAACTTCTCGTCCCCGTCGAAGCGATGTTGCACATCGACGACGGTTTCGTCGCCACTCCGACGGCCCTCGGAACCCAGCAGCCGGCCCTGGGCGTCGTGCTCGCGGTCCCACGCCTCCAGCTGGTCCAGGGGCACCTTGACGAGCTTGTGCGTGACCTCGCCGCCGTCGAGGAGCACCTTTTCGTGGCGGATGCGGTAGCCCCGCCAGCGCGGCAGCAGGTACACCCACAGCAGGTAGTAGGCGGCGCAGGCGATCAGGATGCCGATGCCCGTGACCACGTAGGTCGCGTACCAGAAGCTGACGTCGCCGCCCGTCGCGCCGCCCGTCGGTGGGTACCACGGCATGATCAGCATGTACAGGTTGACGGCGATGGTGAAGAGGACGGCCACGTGCCACGCCTGGAACCGGTACGCCTTGGACGGCGGCGGCACGTTGAGCCGCCGGCGCTGAGCCCGCACAAAGTAGATGCCCACGGCCATGAGGAAGTTGAAGAAGGAGCTTGGGTAGTTGGCCAGGTCGACGACAAAGTTCTATACCCAGTAACAAAAAGAGAAGGACGACTTGGTCAGCCAATTGTTTTTCTTTGAGAGATCGAGTCTCAGATCCGAGTTCTGTTAAGGAAGTTAACTTACGAAAGCGTCGCCCGCGGGAGGCGCAAGGATCATCAGCATCGTCAATGCCCATTTCACCGAGTAAGGCCCAAGAGGAGTGCCGAAGGGTCGAGTGCTGACCCAGAAATCTGGGAACGGGAGGGTGCCCTGCCTGTGCACAGAGTTAGTTCATTGAAGGGGACAGGCTTGGGTTTCTTATTCAAGGGAGGTCGAAACATACCGACCACACTCCCTGATCAGTCTGGACTGGCCCAACAACACCGCAATCAAGTTGCCAAATGCGCTCAGGGCGATGAGAAAATTGAGACCCCTGACGGCTCCGCTTGACCCAAAGACGTGCTGGAAGAACAGACTGGCGGCGATCTGCGACGACTTGACCAACTCTTCTTTCGGAACCGCCGAGAAATAGGCGATGTTGGCCAGCATGTAGAGTACGGCGACGATGAGAAGCGACAGGCCCCCCGAGTTGCGAATGGAGCGGACCGGGTTCTTGACTTCATTCACGACGTTGAAGGCATTCTCATAGCCGGCGTAGGAGAAGATGATTTTCACCAAGGCATTTGTCACGCCGTATGCCGAAGTCGAGGCCCCTTCAAAGCTGGAGAATGCGTCGCGGAAATTGGCATGGGGATCTGGCACTCGAGAGACGTTTCCGCCGAGGACTACCAGGCCGGTGATGGCAACAAATACCAACGTCAGCAGTTTGACGACACCGATGGCGTTGGAGATATGGTAGGACCACCGGGTTGAGAAGGCCACGAAGAGGAATGCCACAGTGTATCCGGCGACGGCCACCCCTTTCAGCTCCCAGGCCGTGGGAGTAGCGCCATTGATGCGATACAGATACTGTGCGAGGACGATGGCATTCGAGGAGCTGAACGAGAGCAGCACGGACTGAATCGCAAAGGTGACTGGGAAGAGGTATCGAGGGCGCGGGTACGCCTGTTCCAGGTACACGACTTCGCTGCCGGATCGGTTCGGGAAGTAGCTCGCGAATTCCAGATAGACGGATAGAGAAGATCCAGCAATGATGAAGCCGAGAAACCAGTAGATCAGAGCAAGCCCGACGCTGCCTGTACCCTTGAGAATCGACGCGGGGGTCGAGTAGACTCCAGTACCGACCATCTTGGAGAGGTTGAGGAACAGAATGGTGACCTGGCCGACATGATAGCCCAGAGGTGAACGCGTCTCGACGGGAGCCCCCGACACCTCCTGGTAAGATGGCTCGTTGCTGTTCTCCCCCTTTTCAACGGCATACTTGAGATTCCCTTCGGCGAGGAAGGTTGTAGAGTTGAGATCGTTCTGCTCGTGGACAAGGCTCGGAGGGTCTGTTCGTTTCCTCCACTTTAAGGAGACCATCTTGTCAATAATGGATCAAAGTATATTCCCCGGGAGCGGAACGGTACGCAACTGGATCTCGCGCACGAGAGGACAAGTCCATGATCGGGTTTTCTTATATGCCATTCTCAGGTCGCCTCCCGTGGCAAAAGAAAGCCCTCACGCAATCGCATGGCGCGACATACTCAGCGCATTTCCTGAGCAGATGGCGTTGTTGATGTTGCAGCAGCTGCACGATGCACGATTGTCGTGCTTGACCAGGGGTATGGCGTTGTTAGACATCCCACTTGAGCCCAGTAGCAGATGCCATCCTCGGCGTGGATCGTCGTGTGCTCTAACGACGTGCCCAGCGTAGCAGATGGTGCAATATGCCAGCCCCCCAATAATCCTGGCCAAGGATGCCCGTCTACTATTTTACAAGGAATAGAATGCATGGAGTATAGAAGATGAACAATGCACAAGAGCCGTCGTGCGCGGCGATAGGAAGTATGAAACCTCACGTTCTCTCACCCAGTCATCCTATGAACAAGGCATCGCCGATTTGCCATGCGCCGGAGGGAGGCCAATGGCCGATATCTATTGAGTGGCCTTCTGGGATCCATTGCTAGCGCTTCGAACATATGGCTCCAAGGGAAAAACCTGCGTGTCTGCGGTGACGCCATGGTACAGTTGCGCCCACTTAGGTTGCAAGGCATTCGGTGTTTCCCAGCAAAACTCTGGGTCGCGAAGCCAGAGGCGAACGAGGTGGCGTCTGGCGACAACTGTTAGTACAAGATGGCTCAGGTAATCAACTAATGAGTCTTACTGCTGCTCCTCCGTGTCCTTGAACCCATCGCGAGCGTGGAAAACTGCCAAATTGTTTACGTACTGGATGTCACCTTGCTGAAAATCCAGTTCAACATTGAAGCGTTCTCCCAGAAAATGAATTGCATCTAGAGCTTCAGCTTGTGCTTCAGTGATCGGAGGGATTGCTGTAGACCGGGGCAGGGCACCGAAGCCCGTAAAATATCTTCGAGCATATTGCAAGATGATGCGCTCCGGGGTCTGGGTCGTAGCGGGTTGATAGAACAGAAGAGGCTTGGATATATATGGCTGCTCAGGATTTCCAAAGTTATCGGCAACCCAGTCTTGGGAAAGCGTCTCGATGAGATCTGGCCTATTTGCTGCCAGTTCATTGTAGACTCGCCAAGTGCTTGCCAATCTGCTTTTGCCCCCTTCTGCTGCGGGGCTCAGGCAAAACAATGAGACGATGTCGCCAGTGTCAGTGTGGAATACTTGCTTGTCCGCAGTGTAAGCGGGGGCTCCGATGCTAGCCCTCTCTGTGCTTGCGCTAAGGTCTTTGATGTGACCGAGGACCACATCGGCGGGCTCCCCATTGTAGTGGCTGTCCTGGCGCGCTCTCAGAGGAGCAATGTGCGATGAAAGACCAGCATAAAGAATGAGGTTCTCCTCTCGAGAGTATCGTGTAACAGGAATACCCCTGACGACTTTGAATCCGTGGCCGAAGTGCAATTCGCGCGAGACACCTCGTAACTCCTCGTGTAGGGTTGGTAGAGGGAAAGTCTCTTGGTCAATGTAACCCAGAGGCTTCTTCAAGGCTATAACAATGTCAGCACACCTGCCACAGATACAAGGCTGACTGACATTTAAAATGTGCAAGGGCATGTTCCAATTCCTTGATATGCTCAGGCTTCAGCACAAATGTCCAATCGAAATCTTTTGCAATGGAAGCCCCGTCCCATACGAAGTCTGACTGCAATCGTCGTGGGAAGCCCGCAGGGAGGGTCTTGGTCGCAAGCGTCTTTTCTGTTTCAAGTCTGCGCTTGACTCGAGCTTCATACTTGTGAAAGTCGGGCGAGTACTGGATATCAGGCTGTCGCGTTGCTACTACCGCTGCCGCCGCCATGTTGACGATGTGATGCTGACAATATTGACTCTTGTCATGGACGAGACAGGTTTATATCGATGGGCTGAATGACGCCATCAAATCGGTCGATGGCGTGGCTCATATAGGCGGAGGTCGGTTTGATTCTGTATGGCCACCGAGGGTGAAAGTCGGCGTATAATAGATGGTGACCTTGGAGGCCTCCACATTGCGTTGGACCAGCCGGAGACCAGATGGTCTTGGTCTTGAGAGGTTTGTCGAGGTTGAGAGATGCTTTCGGGGGACTTGATGCCAATATCTGACTTTAAAGCAGCATACACTCTAACCCCACAACGGCTAGATCTGCCTGCGCTTCCCTGCGTTCTCTGGATTTTCTCCCGCAGCTCGACGCAGTCAATCAATCACGGATTCTTCATCTTATTCCATCTCTCCAAATTTCGCTTAGGCAACCACAGAAACCCGCATTTCGACCAGCCACAGTCACGGTCATCATTTTAAAGAGAGTGTAGCCATTCACGACCGAATAATTTTTCGACGTTGCGGTAGAAGCTCTTTACAATAATATCACTAGCTGAACTCGATCACAATGTCTGCATCTACCACTCCACGCGGTCCCCCTGACGTCTCGGCGATGAAGGCGCGCATCATCACCCACATGAACGCAGATCATCAGCTTTCCCTTCGTCTCTACCTACAACACTACTCCCATGTCCCTTCGCCCGGTACTGCCTCGGCTCAAATGTTGGATATCACCACGGAACACATGATTATCTCGTCAGCCTACGGACGACATGTTATTCAATTTGAGCCTCCCATGAAAAGTCTGATGGAAGCCAGGGAGAGACTCGTCACGATGCATGAACTCTGCCTCAAGCAACTAGATTTGTCTGCCATCGTGGTGAGCAAGTACGTGCCACCAGATCGGGTGTGGCAATGGGCGTTGTCTGGACTTTGTCTCTTGATTTTTACGACATTTCCTTTTCGCGAGTCCCTCAGGTCAGAGTCCGGATCGTGGATCTATCAGGTATGGAGCCTTGGTGGCGTAGCGCCCTGGCTGGCCGAACTGAGCTACACACTAGCCCCAGCGGTGCTAGGTGTCATGGTAGTTGTCCATGGCGGTGAGGCGGTGTGGTTCATTCAGAGAAAGTTGAGGCGCCACTGGGTAGAGTGGGGATCAGCAGCTTGGTGGTGCTGGGTCGTTGATTGTTGTATCGAGGGGTTTGGATCTTTTACCAGATTTGACCGGATAGTGAAGACAATGGAGATGGAGAAGAAAGGTGGTGGTCAGCATTGAAAGGAACGTGTTGGCGAGGAGGAATATCTGACTGTCTGGCTGGGAGGGGCGGGGTTTCTTTGGTCAAAGGGTCTAATCGATGTGTTGTGTAGGTAGGCTGGTATACTCGCTACTCTTATCGACCCGAGGATTACGCCAACGCATACATGACTTAGCTTTTTAAGATCCCCTCCGGTGGTTCTGAACCCATGTACCGAGTATAGCGACCAGATATTGTCTTTCTCCAGCAAGGATCGGGGTCATGGGTGGGTGGTATGATACCGGGGGAATACCCCGCCATCCTCTCCCGCCGCCCTATCATGGACATATTCTGCCTGCCCTCTGCCGATCGGCCCGCAACCTAATCCAGAATTGGCGTTACTTGCGGATCTTGGCAGGGACCGTCTTGTTCCTTCGTTTCGCTGTCCCCGTATTATTATTACTTTGTACAGTTTTCCCGCTTGAGAATCACCTTCTGAACCTCCCCCCGTCCCTTTTCCCTTTCACTTGTCTTCTCACCAGTACAGGCATTGATTCTCTGGTTTGTTAGAAACCCCGTTGCCATCGTCGACAATGCGTTACGACAATAACCGGGATCCCGATTCTGGGATATCTTGAATCTGCAGGGGCGGAAAATTTCCCCTGTTTTCGAAGCCGCCATGGAAAGTAAGGAACTTTTTCTTTGTGCCACCTCCCTTTTTGGATGTTCTCTGATCCTTTCTGTTCCCCAGAACCACCGTCGTCCCACGAGGTCACTCTCGATGATGCCAGGGAACACAGCATCCTGCTGCGGGCCGCTGCTCTGTTTCGTAAACATGTCCTCGGCGTCTTTTCCGAGTTCTCCTTCATCAATTGGCACTACTTCTACTTCATCGTCACATGTTTGGTGTCTAGCCTCATTTTCTGGGGCTCGTCCACCCCGGCAAAGTCGGTGTCCTACGTCGACAGTCTCTTTCTGTGCGTTTCGGCCATGACAGAGGCCGGCTTGAACACCGTCAATCTCTCGGAGCTGAATACCTGGCAGCAGATCATGCTATTTCTTCTCATCATCTTCGGCTCGGCGATTTTCGTCTCATCGTCCATTCTCCATATAAGGAAACGAGCCTTTGAAAAGAAATTTGCAGAACTTGCAGAGCGACGGATAAATCGCCTCCACAGGCCTCGGACATTGACTCTCTCATTATCGAGAAGAGATCATGTCCATGACAACGAACGCGAGGCTGCCGTGGCCTCTGGCGCCATTCGTGGGCGTCCTGTGTCAAATTTCCACAAGGTGGATGAGCACAAAGCCTCGTCTAGATCGCGAGAACGTCCAGAACCCATCGGTCCGCATGCCGACGTACGGCGCAATTCGTCAGTAGATGGGACGATCGCTGGAAGCACCTCCAACGATCCCATTGCGAGCCACATCAGGTTCAAAGTCCAACACCCACCTAGTGAATATACCGAGACTCGAGCCCGGAATATCCGCCAAAGTACAAGTTTCTTCGAGGGAAGAGGTGTTGGTGCGCGGAGGCTCGACAATCATCCGCGCAACACGCAGCCTTTGGAATTCCCGTATTCGATGCCAGAATCGGCCATCGAGGACGAGCTTCCCCCTGACGGTCCACTAGCAAATAAGCTCAACAAATACCTTGACACCCTCCATGGGTATCTTGGGAGGAACTCACAGTTCCACCATCTCAGCGAGAGGGAGAGAAAAATGCTGGGGGGAATCGAATACGATGCAATCCGCTTGCTTTCCTGGCTTGTGCCGACCTATTTTGTGCTGTTTCAGCTCTTCGGCGCGCTTGGTGTCGGTGCCTGGCTCACCGCTAACCGTCCCAGTACGACGCAGGAGAATGGGTAAGCTACCTGACACAGTCGGATAGATAGACAGCGAAACTGACCCTCGATGTAGTCTCAACCCTTACTGGACTGGAGCCTTTTTCGCTATTAGCGCATTCAACAACAGCGGCATGGCTCTCCTAGATGCCAACGCCGTCGCTCTGAACCGGAGTTACTACTGCCTCCTGACGCTTAGTTTGCTCATCCTGGCGGGAAATACCCTGTTTCCTGCTTTTCTGCGAGGGATACTGTGGGTGTTCAAAAAGCTAATTCCAGAAGAACATCCCTCGCCAGACTGGCAGAGACGAAGGCGCACCATTCAATTCTGCCTCGACCATCCCCGAAGGGTTTACACGAACTTGTTCCCAAGCGCGGCGACCTGGTGGTTGGTGGCCTCGGTGGTCGTTCTGAACACTATTGACTGGGTTGCGTTCGAATTGCTCAATATTGGCAATGAGGTGGTAGACTCACTCCCAACAGGATTTCGAATTGTTGCGGGATTATTCCAAGCCTTGGCTGTGAGGAGTGGCGGATTCTATGTCGTCTCCATACCAGGCCTGCGTTCCGGGCTGCTAGTCCTCTACGTTCTCATGATGTATTTGAGCGCCTTTCCGGTCACGATGACAATTCGAAACACGAATGTTTACGAAGAGAGGTCGCTGGGCATCTTCGCGGACGAACTGCCAATCTATCAAGAGAACGACGATGCTACGCGAGAGAACAAGAAGACAGGATTCCTAAACGGTCTCCGACGGACCATCACAATGACACATGGTGGCCCATCAGCCAACACTCCTGTCTGGACTCGGCAAGATTTTGTCCGACTCCAATTGCGATCCCAATTGGGCCACGACTTGTGGTGGATCGCCATCGCCATTTTCGCCATCACTGCCATTGAGACGGGCCAGTTTGAGCGTGACCCTGTCAGTTTCTCCACGTTCAACGTCATCTTCGAGGTGGTCAGTGGCTATGGCTGTGTGGGTATCAGTGTCGGCGTGCCGTGGAACAACTACAGCTTTTCCGGCGCGTGGCACCTCGCGAGCAAGCTGATCCTGTGCGCCGTTATGCTTCGTGGGCGCCACCGCGGGCTCCCCGTCAGCATCGACCGCGCTGTCCTACTTCCAGACGAAAGCCTCGCCTGGGCCGAGGAGGAAGACGCCCACATGAGAACCTCGAGCTTTTGTTCTGGAGGGCCAGTGCTCTCGAGAGCGCACACATCTGCCATGACCTCCAAAGATGCCTTGGCGAGGCCCAGAACAGCCAGCTTCGGTGCGCCAGGGCCGAGTATCTTAGCAGCTGACGCGAGAGAACGAACGATCGAACAGGTTGCGTGATGAGCCTTTTCAGAGATCACCACTACACCTCGCTCTATCCGAGCGGCAGCGGCCTTTTGTTTAGGCCGCAGGCAAAAAGGGTTTCATCCCTTCTGGGGTTATGGGCGAATTTGGCTGTCGAGTCTGTCGTGACTCGGCCGTTCATTTTACAATCTGTCCTTGATGTTGTCGCACTTTGAAGATCGCCTTCACCATCTATCTCGTTTTTCGCTTTTTTCTTTTGGTTGGGTTTCTCCCACATCGAATGATCCATATTGAGCAGCACTTCTAGCAAGCCGTTGGAATTTCCCTCTTTTTCTTCGAGGTTTAAAAGCACGTACAACGTCTTTCATTACCATCAACATACATATGATATACTTTTCATCGGGATATAGATAGATTGACTGGGAAAATATATATCTGTGCTGTCCTATTCTATTCTTATCTCTAGTCAAATCAATCAACAAACAATATTGCCAGCTGAGTTCTTCGGGACAGAAGGTGTAGGGAAGGAGGGAGTCGTGGAGATCCCATCATTCGGTTGTTCATTTCGTCAGAATAGACATCTATCTATCTGCCTGCCTGCCTGCCTGCTTGCGATTTTATACCTCGGATCACTTTTTTTTTTGAGACCCTCCTCCGTCTTTGGATTATAAAACCCTTCAAGGGGTGTGGTGTGGCTACGGGCAGAACCAAAAAAAAAACAACAACCAAGGAAAGGTGGATCTGGCTTTCTAGCATCTAGCCAGGTTGATTTGATTTCGATTCCCCGTGAGAGAACTTTCAAATAACGTTCTGCAATTGTTGGCCGGCCAGGAAGCGGCGCAGGTTGGCGGCGATCAACTTCTCGGCGTCCTGGGGTCTGCCGCCCGCGGCGTGGGGGCTAACGAAGCAGTTTGGGGCGTGCCACAGCTTGCTGCTCTGGGGGAGGGGCTCGGTCTCGAAGACGTCGAGGGCGGCGCCGCCGATGGTCTTGTTGGAGAGGGCGGTGAACAGGGCGTCCTCGTCGACCGAGGTGCCGCGGCCGACGTTGACGACCCAGGCGTGGTTGGGCAGTAGGGCGAGGCGGTCGGCGTTGAGGGCGTGGCGCGTGCTGGCGCTCCCCGGCAGGATCATGACCAGGGCGTCGGTCTCGCGCAGCAGCTCCGGCAGCGCGTCCTCGCCGTGGACCTCGACGCCGTCACGCACACCCGCCCGACGCGCCACCCCGCGCACGTTGGCGCCCAGCAGGCGCAGCATGGGCGTGAGGGTCTTTGCGATGTTGCCGAACCCCCACACCAGCACGTTGGCGTCGCGCAGCGTCGTGAACGCCCCCTTGGGCCGGTCCGGCTGCGGCCCGCCCAGGTGCCCCGGCCACTCGGGCGGGTTGCGCATCTGGTAGTCGCGCATCTCGTGGAACTTGCGCGCCGCCACCAGCAGCAGGCCCAGCGTGTGCTCGGCCACGGTGCGGTCGTGCAGTCCCGACCCCGTCGTGATGGTCACCTTGGCCGGGTCGAAGCCCGCCGCGAGCACGTCGTTGGGCCCCGCCGCCAGCGACTGGATCCATTTCAGCGACTTCATGTGCCGCGCCGCGTGCTGGAGGTTCGTCGCCGCGTTCGACCACGTCACCAGCACCTCGGCGTCGAGCAGGTCCTCGGGGATCTCCTTCTTGACGTCGTACGGGTGCAGCGACACCGAGAAGCCCTCGAGGTCTTGCACGTTCAGGTGCAGCGACGTCGGGTAGAGGAGCTTCATCTTTGACGAGATGTGCGTGTGTTCTGCCTTGGCCTTGCCTTTTTCCTCGCGTACGCTAGGGATAATCAAGTGATGTGGTTGATAGTTGGGTCCTTTTTTTTCTTCTCTGTCACACTCTCTCACAGACTCTCTCTTTCTTTTCTTGCTCTTCTTATTTTCCACAATCTATTCACCCTTTTCTTATCCTGCTTTTTTCTTTCGTGTCCTGCTCCGCGGGTCGTGAAACAATGATTCTGCTCACAGCGTGCACACCGAGAATTAAAAAAAAAAAAAATGGCTGGCACCACCAAAACGATGACGAGGTCTCTCTCTGTCTCTCCCTCTCTGACCTCGACTCGAATTCAAGGGAGATCGGTGATCTAAATATGATGTAGATGGTGCCATAGGCTTTCTTTCCTAGTCTTGGGTGTCCCACGTACGTCCCTCACCCGCCGCCGTCGGCAGATATCGGCCCTCTCTCCGCATCAGGAGCTGCGGAGTTCACCCGGTTTCTTTCCTTCGCTGTCGCCATCTTGATTTTCAATTGCCGACGGGCCAGTCAGAGGCATTGGAGGGGTCGTTTGTCGGGAAACTTTTACGCGAGAAGAGAGGGAAGGGTCCTCTTTTTCGTATGAATTTGATGGGGTGTAGTGGTGTAGTGGTCGGAGTTTGACATCATGTACCTACATATGTTGCCATATTGGCACCTTCACAGAGATGCATCCAGAATGGAGACTTTTTTGCCAGCTGGAAACCAAATGAGCTTCAAATTCCCAATCGATTCCAGTATCCATGGGAACTCGCCAATAACCAGAAACCCAAACCAAAGTCTCGCTAGATCAGCTTTGTTCGCAATGCATATTCCGCCTTGAATGCCCTCGAAAATCAATCAGAACATAGTAGATATGTCTGGGAGACCCAGTTTAACATAGATGCCAGCCTCGTCCTGTATATGAGGCCATGGAAACCCACTCAGATGAAGGCCCCCTTTCTTCTCTTTTTTCTTTTGCCAGCCATTTCGTCCACATGTCGCTTCCAAGTCAAGTTTATCAAATCATGACCTTCCTCAGACAACGATGGCAGAAGAAACTTGGAACACCTTGTCACTGCATATTCCTGATCGTGTCTTTCTCTTTTGGTCTCCACACGGCAATGCTTATACGATTTTCACATGACGATGCATCGTCCTCCCTTCTTCCCACCGCCTCCTTCTTTGGTGGGCCTCGAACTGGTTGGCATGGGTGTTTGACTTCTCGGCACCTCTTCGCCTTTCTTTCTCTTTCCTTTCTTTTTCTTGCCAGATTCTGCGGAGGTGGGGTCTGATAAAACGCGTCTGTCCCCACTCTCAATTGGGCTCGGGTCACTTCCAGCCCAAACCCGGGCTCGATGAGTTGGTATGTGTTCATACAGCGGCTGTGGGACTGGTTGACTCTGGGTGATCAAGAACGGAGTTTGTTGCGGGTGTGGCAGCGGCGGCCCCATTCCTTGCACATCACTGTGTGACCTCGAACCTGGTTCGCCCGGCCCATACGAGCTAGATATGCTGTCAATAGTGTCGAGCCTGCCCATGCGAGGTCGCTGGTCTTGTATCGGTAGTGCAGCGTGTAGATTTGGTGTCGATGAAGAAATTGGAATTGAACGACCACTTCCTCTGGAGGTACTCCTCATCAACCCGTTGGGCAGATTGATTGCTTTGTTAAAAGACGGAGATCCTGGAATTCCCGCGGCGCCCCATACGCCTCGAGGTGGCGAGGGTGGCACGTTAGGACTGCCGCTCGACTCCCGTGCTGGAGCCCCTTGATAGGCAGAGCCATAAGTGACGATTGGCGGGACTGGCTTGCGCAGAGTTTGAGAGACTCGACGGTCCAGATGAGCCATCTGGTCAGCTGTCGGGGGGACAATACTGTATGACCCATTGGTTTGAATGGTGGGTGAAAGTGCCGGCTGGGAAATCACAGAATGAAGAGCAGGACCGTCGGATTGTGGCAGATGCATCCGTTCCAGAGATGTCGGAGTTGGTGGGACGGGGTGATTAAGCCGCGCTTGCAAATTTGCTCCAGTCAATGTCACGGATCCTGATGAAGACGGTTTATGAGATGAAGCCGCGTCAGAAAACTGCGGTACATGGAGAGGGGCGTTCAGAGGAGACGGACGATCCGACGTGTGTGGCCGCTGGGAGACTGGAGTCTGTTGGAAGGGTGAAGTTCGACCTTCATGCGATACCGGCCTTGATGATTCTCCAGATACGGACGGGACAAACGGTGCATTCACTACAGGCATTTGCGAGGCTGGAGTCGCACGTTGATACGTCTCCGGTGTTGGAGCAAATGATTGATCGTTCATGGTGACTGGAGCACCATACTGGCCGACGGCATGCCTGGAAGCAATGTCCATCACCACCTGCACCGGTTGAGGAGTCAAATGCAGAGGCTGAGATGGATGTTGCGGAGTCATGGGACTGCCATGTCCGAAGCCAGGGTGAACCTGCGGAGCATGGCCATTCTCGGGGATCCCTACCATTGGCATGGATATCCCTGCCATCGGACGTGCCTGGACCAAAGGTGAACCCAATGTCCCCCCCGCTTGAGGATGCAGAGACCCTGTGGTATAAGGTGGAGGTGGCGACTCCCAACCATCCTGCTGTTGACCAGGCGAACGGTGATAGATGGCATTGGCGGTGTCTTGTTGCTGCGCCAGAGGTGGTCTGGGAGGGTACCGTGCCGTAGAAAACCCAGCAGCTGTGGCAGATCTGTGTAAATTGGACGGGGCTGGTTGTGAGGGCAGTGGGTTTGAGTTGGCCAAAGCAATTTGTGCGTCAATGTCTAGTGCTGAGGAAGCCTGAGAGACACTTCTCAGGCGCGATCCCGGCGTCGCTGAAGCTGTAGTGACGGATCGACCGAGGCCGCCTCTCATGCCCCCTCTTGCACGTTCCCTGACTGTTCGTCTTCTTTCCATTGCCACCTCAATATCCATATCACCCATTCGTTCAATGAGTAATTCCGGCTCCTTATCGCCCACCTCGATAGTCAATTCGCGGTCTGCTCCTTTGGACGGCGAATAATCAAAGTCGAGTATCGAGAGGCGCGAGCCGTCAACCGGCATAGTTTCGTCTCCGAGTTCCTCCATAAATTGATCGACACCACCAGGGGCCACGACAACTAGCCGCTTACCGGCGAAAGCGCATGGTCTATCTTCGCACCTCTCCACCCATTTGGCTGCCGTGGCGCCGTCAAGAGTCTTGATTCGTTCACATTTGACGAACAGGCTTTCTCGCCAGTCGACCTTTGCTGCTAGCGAGTCATCCTCGATATCCTCGCTACTTCCAGATATCGAAGGCGAATATGCCATCAATGGTTCAATATGGCCCGTCGCAGAGGTAAGCGGAACCCTCCCTTGTAAGCGTTGTTCGTGCCGCTCGACGACCGAACCCATGTCTGGACTGACGTCCAGCTTTTCTGGGACGCCATAAATCCAGAGACCGCTTCCAGCGAAGCCGGCCACAACGAGAGTTCCACACACAGTCGCAGTGGGCGCGGTTGATGGCGCAGGCAGGCTAAATCGCCTGTTCGTCGTTGGGTTCAAGAAATATGCGACGCCGGTTCGGGTGTCATCAGTGCGGACGGCTCGGTAAGACATGAGGGTGTGGTCGTAAGCAAAAAGCCAGTTGGCGTCACCCTCTGTATGGCCCTGTAGCAACTCTGCGTGGCTGCAAATACTGCTAATTTGTGGAAAGAGAATCTGTGTGGTCCACATGCGACTGTGAACCTCTTTTGGCGACAGATCATTTTCGGTGTAGAATGGCGCAGTGATGACAACCGCCGATGGTTCTTCGAGACTTTGGGTGCTGCCCACTAGCATCGATCCATCACCTGAGAAGCTCAAGATATCGACGCCTTCGCTCCTCACAGCTCGTCGGTCTGTGGAAAGAGCATTCGGTGCGAGGGAAAAGACTTCGACGCCGCCCTCATACGCAGCGGCCAGGACTGTTCCTTCGGGAGCCAACGCGATCGTCCTCGGCGGATTGTCCATGACCAGCACCTGGATATGTTTTACGCCATTTGGCGTCAAGTGATATACATTGGCTTGATGTTTGGAGGACAGGACGGCTAATATTGTGCCGTCATCAGTGATCGAAGCCGCCAAAGGCCGTCTCATCGTCTTCAGCTCATGGCGCACACTGATAGGATCTGTGACGGCGTCAATGACGTATATCCGTGAGGAACTGAGCGCGAGAATCGATTGCCCATTTGGAGAGAAAGAGAAGCGGAACGCTTCAGCTCCAGGCAAAGCGGCGGAGGAACTGGCATTGACGGATATCAGATTAATCAGAGTCTGGCGAGGTTGCAGATATGCCTCGAACAGATTTCGCCGGACCTCTGCCGCGAATTTTGTCTTGAGCCGATATAGGTCAAATTTCCGAAACGGACCGGTAATGACGGTGTTGGACAAGGCATAAGATGGACACCGAGATAGGTGATGGGCGTAAAGTTCTCGGTTTTGTGCTGCCCTATACCAGTTCTTGTTCAATATAGCCAATGACGCAAAGCTGTTGGCATCGACCGTCCATAGTATTCTAGGTCAAGTTAGCATCGACGTCGGACGTCGGACAAGCCCTATTCTATTTATGGGTGGCGTACCTCTCCAGAACCTGGATAGGGAGGTTGTGAAAAGCGACAGCTTCCCTTCTCTCATGATTTGGCCCGATAGTATCAGGAGATTGGGGCGAGTCGTCGATTGCAAGTGTCCCGATGGTTTGGGATATACCTAGTCCTGTCTTATGACTAGGATCCTGCACATCTTGATCCAGTGGCTGAGGGGGGATATCATCCTCCCGCGAGATGGTCGAACCAGATTTCGATGGCGGATGTAGAATCATCTGCGGCGACATAGCAGAATGACTGTGGAATAGGAAGGGATCAAAAGGCTACACATAAAACCACGAGAAGGATGACATGATGATGGTGGCCTCAATATTGCATGGCTCCATGAACGCGTCAAGTCGCGACGGGGCAGAAGGAAAAGCTTCCCTTCTTTTTGCGCCAACGTTGAGGGGGCTTGGGAATAGGCGAGGTATATGTCGATCGAGTCGTCAAGTGATGGATGATGGCATTCAGCTGAAATCTGATATGATGGACGGTGGCGATGGGTGAAGATTAAGGGTGTCGGATAGCAGAGATGATGGATGAGAAAGGCGAATTGGGTAGTTCCGGAGAAGGTTGTGCAAGGTGGTCAGCGTGCGAAGTCGAATCTTAGCAGGGCTAGCGAGTGTCTAGTTTCCTAGGCAAGCTAGGAGCAGTTAAGCAGCCGTGGCAGCCACCTGCAGGCTAGGTAGGGCACGGTAAAGTTACCTAGGCGTACTAGGTAATTAGGTGTCTAGGTACTCATAGGGAGGTACCTAGTCGACTTTAATTAACTAAGCCACCTTATTGTTGAGTTTTGCTGGGCGCCCCAGTACCCTCTCACGCCTCTCACGCCCTCAACCCCCACGAATACCCCCTAAATGTCCCAGGGGGCACCTGAAGAATTAGACGCGGTACCATCTCCACGATGGTTATTAGCGAGACTCAACTGCCAATCGCAGGGTCCTCTTAGTCCTTTGGGTTTCCTCTAGGCGACCCAGAGTGCCAGACCACATGCCTAGGTACTTCCGTACAAGTATGTACAGAGGTTGGCCTAGACGTTGACGGAGGCTCCTCCGAATCGAGTTTAGCCCAGGCTGCCCATGTTTTACGGGCAGTTCTTTTCTTAGTAGCATGCCCCAATCTCTAGTGTACTTCCTCACCACCATCACCCATGTATGCCGGTGACTAGGTATCCAGTAGATGCATCCTGCATCTCGCATTCCCTATTTATTGTATACTTGATCCATGTCGCCGTCACCCATGTAGCAGGAATATCAAACACCATCTACCTCGTCTACCTCCTTTCTCCCTCCACCAACTCCGTATTCTCCTCTCTTTCATTTAGACACAGTAACATGGGCCGGATGAATTACTCGTTTGGGCTTCCATCAGTTTCAGCTTGACGCTCATCACCAACATCAACATTCGCCAGACCATCTCCATCACACCTCTAGAAATACCAGCAGGTCATCCACCTCAACCACTAAGAGTCTCTCCCATCTACTAACGCCCGGAGCTCGAAAATGTGTATACGATGAGAGATGATGTCTTCTGAATTTACACCCGCCCGGCCTCGCCGCCTCATATCTCTGACACGAACTGCCAGGCCTCTCTCTGCCTCAGATATTTATTTCCACAGCTGTTTGTACAAGAATATTCTAACCAACCATCAAGATCCGCACTGGCTTGGAATGTGCAACATGCATATCTCCTCCCAGTCAATGTCAATCATGCCTCACTTCTGCTCCGTTTCCTCAACCTTTTTGCTGCCTGACAGACCTGAAAACCAATTACCAGGCTTCATGCTCTTGTACGCCTCTTCCTGCAATCGCTTCTCTTCGGCTTCTCGTTCTGCTAGAAATTTGGCACCTTCCTGTTGAATATGCTTCTCCAGCTCCATGTACCGTTTTTGACCACGCTCCCTGATTTGGTCCCAGAGCATCTTTCCCTCGGACATAGCCTCGTCAGGACTCTGCATCCCATCTGGGTTGTGGCCTGACAGTCCCAACATTGATGACAGTTTCCCCAAGGTCTTCCTGGGTCTTTTCTTGCGCTTCTCTGCTTCTTCGGCCTCAAACTTGGCCCGAAGGAGTTTTTCTCTTCGGGCGAACTCGGCAGGTATATACGTTCCTTCGAATGACTTCAAGACTTCTCGTACATCACTGAATCCCATTGTCGCTAGGTATTCCAGGAAGGGAATGAACTGAACCAGCGTCTGATCTTTTGGATCACCATCCCACTTAGGCAGGATGATAGCGTTTTCAGGCTGATGCTTCACATGGTGCGGATCAGTGTCCATAATGATAACCTTTTTCAGGTCCCTGTTGAGATACGAAAGATCCTATTCAGGTCAGTGACTAGTCTCCCGTTGACGTATTTGGCTGCTCACCTTGACATAACCGCCGTCTTTGTATAATGTCGCTTCGCGAAACAAGTAGAATGGAATCATGCCGTAAGGATCCAACTTTCGAATCACCTGCTCCACCACCGCCATAGGTTGACTGGTGAAGAGGACAAGTTCATAGTAATTTGACATATATCGGATAAAATAGTCCATTCCTGGTCGCTTGGCTATCCGCCAGCCCTTCTCACGAGTCCATTCCGAATGAACAAGCATGTCCTCCAAGCTTATTACAAGAACAAACGGAAATCGGAAGTTGGGGTCCTGATCTTCGTCTGGCAGGAGTTTCGGCGAGACAGGATCTCGGTAATAGCTCAAGGTGGAAGATAGACGAGCACTGACTCTGTTGTAGAAAGGTTTGAAGCCCCATCCTGAAGGGGCATCAGGGTGTTTCTTCTCCTCCTCTTCGTCTGCCCAGTTGCGTCCCAAGTAAACGGAGAAGCCGATGGTGCCCAATCCCAAGACAATGTACATGTATCGGAACGCCGCATTCTTCTTTCGATCGCTAGAAGAGACATATTGTTCTCGAGGAATATCGCGGCGGTCTCGCCCACGTGCTCCGCTCGGAAGCTCTTCCGACGGATCTTCGGTGATGTTGAGGCTGGGGGCATGGGAGCTCTGTTTCGACCTTGCCTCACGAAGTTCCGCGTCCAAGGTCGATGGGATGCCTTTGGTCAGATCAGGGAGGGGTTGTTGCGATTGTTCTGCCGCAGTCTGATCACGCTCACCCAGAGTTTCTTGTTCCGCAGCAACTTTTTCTGGTTGGGGGGCGCCTGGCTCATTCTCAAGTTCTTTCTGTTGTCCCTCCCCATCCTTTAAAGATCTCTTGCGTGCTTCAGTCACTGATGCCGAGACATCGTCGAGATCCCGAGCCGGATCGGTGCCGAATGGAGGATGTTCAGAAGGTCGCGGCGGATTTGGGGACGATTTTGATGGAGTGATAGGCGATGAGTCTCCGCGATTGTCGGCATCCGAAGCTTGGGAGGGTCGTGTGAAGGGGATTTTTCGTAGGGGTTCCTTTTGCTGCGGCGAATCTTTTGATATACCGGGGATCTTGTAATCTGCGTCCTTTGCAGGTCGATCCCCTTTGGAGTAGTATCGCAACGGGATCTGGATCAGTGCTTGCGGCAGCAGAGGCCGGGCGTGGCGCGGCCTCAACAGAGGCAATGCTGCACGTCTTAGCATCTCTCAATCGACATGCCCTCAAGGTGAGAAAATGGGCATGAGATGTCGATGTCCTAGACAACGCTTGTAGCTACTGTCGTCGGTACAAGGCGGGCTCCTGGAATAATGGGAAGTCTGATGATGGTTGCATCTTGCATTCGCCCAGCGAAATTCTTTCGACCCCAACTCTCAACTTCTTTTAATCCTTGGCATCCAAGCATCTTCGGTCACAAGCCTCAGTCGCCTCCACCGCGGCAAACTGGCACTCTGGCTCCGCATCTACATTTACTCCTCTTCTGTCTCCGCCTCTTTCTCTTCTTTTCTCCTCTTTTCTTCCACAAAGAAAGTTGATTTACACCCCAGAATTATTTGACTCGCCGTCCACAGACATATCATATGTTCGAGGAGTTGTATTAGCTGGGCAGAAAAACGTTCCAAACAGAACTGTCGTTCTCCTCAAGAGCGCACGAGAGGCCAGCCCATGATCTTCCAGTCGCCCCGTAAGGACGATACATTCCTTTCCTCCTTTCCAAGATCCATCACGATGAGTGTATGAAGCCGTCACCTCGAAGAGTGGTGAACTACGCGCGGATCAGCCTTCGCTTTGTCCCTAGTCACTACCCTACGAATCCAACCCCCGATGCCGCCGTCATGGAAAGAAGGTCTCGTGAATGCCTTTCCGATCCCTCACGATCGTACGAAGTTGAGATATACTTCGAAGGATAAAAACAATGTGACCATTTCCTCGGAGCTTGTTTCTGTCGTGGACTCGTTGGGTACTATCTCTTTGGAAGGAGACCCTTTTCCATTCCTCGACCTGCCAGCAGAGATCCGTAACAAGATTTATCACTTAGTCTTGTTCGGCAAGCCGGGCTATCGACTCATTAATGGTCGGTTGAGGCCTACCCGCATAGGTATTATGCTTGCCAACAAAAGGACACACCGCGAAGCTGCCTACATTCTTTACAGCACTTCAAGCTTCCGAATCTTTCCTCTCCAAGACTTCACCCCGGCGCCGGTCATACAAGAGCTTCGCCCTGTGTATCGCGCCATGGTGACTTCACTGGAAATGGTGGTCGGCTCGAGTTGGACCAGTCCACCCAAGACGTGGCGTGTAGGTAAACTGCTGGCAAAGCGCCTGTCTAAGCTGTCTGCTGTCCACACTTTGAAGGTCTTTGTCGAGCTTGATCCGAGCTTGCCGATGTTTGAGAAATACAGGGTCTCACTAGACTTCTACACCGACTTCTGTGGAGAGCTCCTGCGAGATGTCCTTGCGTGCATGCCGCACGTAAGCCACGTTGAAATGAGCGGGAATCCAGGCATCGACACCACAGGCCCGTTGGTGTCGAGGTTGCTCAAGGAAGTGGAGTTTAAGGGCAGAACATGTACTTTAGGACCAACGAAGGCGATCACCACCCCGGCTGGGGTGAAACTGGCGTTTTGGTAACCACATTAATACACTTCCTACGTCGTAACACCTCTTGTCGATCCTTCAGGTACTGATCGTATCTTGCCCGGTTGACTCAAAAACCAGAGTCATTCAAAGACCGCATGTAAACTCTTAGCTCTTTCTGTAGCCCAACGCCGTGCATGCATGCCCTGACGGATAGATACAAGTTACAAGCCGCGCCAGTCCCGTTGCCCATCACCTACAGCTCCTCATCCACTTCCATATCTCCATTTTGATCAGGCCCGTCTCGATGAGCACCATTTGCGCCATTGCCATTCGCTTGCACAGGCTTTTTGGCCACACTTGCCTCTTTGTCAATCATTTGCCTGTTCACGGCAACGATGTTGTCTTCAATCAACCGCTGGCCGACATCCTCGATGTGTTTCTTCGGATCAACTTTTCCCACATATCTTGTCTTGAGTTGTTCAGCGGTTAACTCGTTCTCTTCTCGCACACGTCTCTCGTACCCCTCGGCAAGCTGAACGAGTTGTTGTAGGCCTTCTTCGTTTCTTTTGCGTTCTGAGCCAAAACTCGAGGGTAACTCGAGACCTTCAGTCCAGACTTCCTTGTGCAGATTCATGAGCATGTTCTCTTCCAAGCCCGTCTTGCGGTATTGAATTCCGATGCTGTAGTAATGTCTATTCAGGCCGTGAATCAGTGCTTGAATAGAGGGTTTGTTCAAATGACCCAGGTTTGAGGTAGTTTGGCGAGGTTCTTGGCCCATCATGATAGCTTGGGGGTTGATAAGCCGAAATGCGTCGATGACAACTTTACCCTTGACGGATTGGATGGGATCGACGACGACAGCCACAGCGCGGGGAGTCAGCTGTTCAAATGATTGTTGCGTGTTGATATCGACCGAGGACAACCAGCATCCGAACCCGGGGTGTGAGTGATACCATCCCACTACCACCTCTGGTCGACCTGTCTGGCGCAACATATCCATCATCCTTGTTTGAAAGACCGGATCAACAGACTCGACGCTCACGGAAGTTCCTGATTGCGGCATTGCGAAGACGTCGACAACTCGGACAGTGAAGTCATCAACGAACTCGCCGAGCATCAGTCCCATGACTTCCATAGGAACACCCGCCCTTCCGTGTCGGAGCATCTTCAGAAGGGCGAGGGAGGAAATGTAGACGGTTTCTGAATTGTCGACTAAGTTTGTGTCTTGCCCAGTTTGCGTGCCGCCCATATGTGCCGCAGCCAGCATTCGGTTAAATCGATCCATGGTGATTCTGAGGGAGAAGAGAAATCACGGCGAAGAGGATAGGCAGCGAAGGTAAGAGGGAGGGAAAATGGTCGCCGACTCGAGATTGATAATCCTGATGTAGGTCAGTTCGTGGCGGAACTGTACGCCGGTAACAGCCTGAGCAGGGAAGAATGCCGAGGCGAGATACTAAGAGGCTTTTTTGATTTGCAAGAATCAAAAATAATTCGAAACACAATGTGATGGGAGATCAGGGAGGAGGTAGGTTATGGTCGTCTGTTTGAGTGGAAATATGAAGCTGCAAGGCAAGCATGAACTGCGCGTTCAATATGCGGGTCCCAAAAGCGGTTAGCCAACTTGGCCTCCGCAGATCGTTGGAGACGGAACCATGGGCCTTGGGTGGCCCTTTTGCCCTCGCGCAATATGGAATAATTCACCTCTCGCTGTGCTTCCACCTGCTTTCCACCTTTCTGTCTCTCTAGGAGAAGATTTGCTCTTACCCTGGGCGTCCCATATGTAAGAGAAACTCTGCGCCTTGCCAATCAGATCCTCGCTGCCTTTTCCAATCGGCTCTCCTACTCTCCAAGGTCGTCCCCCACGGGTTGACAAGCTCCGTCCAGAGAAAGAAACGGACGGAGTAGGGCAAGATATTGAGACGACCCGAAAGACGCCCTGTTATATCTGTCGATTCATACTCATCATCGCTACTCGTTCCACCGCTCTACCAATTAACCTTTGCTGCCTTACGTCCACCATGGCATTCGCACCTGTGGACAATCTGCCCCTCAAGCGTGAGGACAAGAAACGAGTCGCATATTTTTACGACTCCGACGTTGGCAACTATGCCTACGTGTCGGGCCATCCCATGAAGCCTCACCGCATACGACTTGCGCACTCGCTGGTGATGAACTATGGCCTGTACAAGAAGATGGAAATCTACCGCGCAAAGCCTGCATCGAAATATGAGATGACACAGTTTCACACCGACGAATACATTGACTTCCTTGCAAAGGTCACTCCCGATAACATGGACTCATACCAGAAAGAGCAGCAAAAATACAATGTCGGCGATGATTGTCCTGTCTTTGACGGTCTCTTCGAGTTCTGCGGGATCAGCGCAGGTGGTTCGATGGAAGGCGCTGCCAGATTGAATCGTCAAAAAGCAGACATTGCCATAAATTGGGCTGGTGGATTACATCACGCGAAGAAATCAGAAGCAAGCGGATTTTGCTACGTCAATGACATCGTTCTCGGGATCATCGAGCTTCTCAGATTCCACAAAAGAGTCCTATATATCGACATCGATGTGCACCACGGTGACGGCGTGGAAGAAGCGTTCTACACCACTGACAGAGTCATGACTGTATCCTTCCACAAATATGGCGAATATTTCCCGGGGACCGGCGAGCTGAGAGATATTGGAGTTGGCTCTGGCAAATACTACGCGGTCAATTTCCCTCTTCGGGATGGCATCGACGATTCATCCTACAAGGGCATTTTTGAACCGGTTATTCGAGCTACTATGGAGTACTATCAACCCTCCGCTGTTGTCCTGCAGTGTGGAGGCGATTCTCTCTCTGGTGATCGACTGGGTTGTTTCAACCTCAGCATGAGAGGACATGCCAACTGCGTCAGATTTGTCAAATCTTTCAATCTCCCTACCCTCATTCTGGGTGGCGGCGGTTACACCATGCGAAATGTCGCAAGAACGTGGGCATTCGAAACTGGGTGCCTTGTGGGTGATTTCATGCAACCAAATCTTCCATACAACGACTACTATGAGGTATGAGCTTCTCCCCATCTTGAGCCGAATGTGTCTAACTCATCTTTCCCAGTACTACGCTCCTGACTACGAGCTGGATGTCCGCCCCTCAAACATGGAAAACGCAAACTCGAGAGAGTATCTCGAGAAAATCCTCAGCCAAGTGCTGGAAAATATGAAAAGGACCGCTCATGCGCCTTCAGTGCAAATGACAGACGTACCTAGAGATTCCCTGGGAATGAACGACGAAGACGAGGCTGCCATCGATGATCTTGACGAGGACCAGAACCCAGATACACGCATCACTCAACGCAAGGCAGACAAGTACGTTCAGAAGAACGGTGAACTTTCCGAGAGTGAGGATGAAGAAATGGAGGAATTGAATGGACACCCATCAGCCAGCCGAAAACGGCGCATCATGCAGAATTTCCGACATATCATGGATGTAGGTGGCAATGACTCTGGTGTAGAAACCCGAAGTGGGACAGGAACACCGCAACAAGCGTCAAGTCTGCCTGATGAGGCGGCAGATGAGATGAATGTGGACGACGATCTGGACGATAAGGTCGACCAGCAGACACCAAGCCCTGCTAATGGTGAACAGCGGTTAAATGATTCTGCTGGCGCTTCCGGTCTGCAGTCTCCCGACCATCGCGTACCAGCCGAAAATGCAGATGGTGATGTTGAGATGGGAGATGCAGAGGCGCCAGATGGAGATGCTGCACCCGCGGACGAGACCGAAGCCGTTCGACCCACTGAAGAAGACTCGTCGATAATTATCCAGCAGCAACGGACGCCACCGGATTCACCACCTACACCGGATGCTGAAGAACACTCACCAAATGTTCCTAATGCGACGGTTTCAGATACGGCGATGGCCGATACCGAAGAAGGCAAGTCGGTCACCCCTCCGACTACCTCAACGGCTCCCGCAAATTCCGATGCCACTGGCACAGCTGATCCAGAAGCTGCTATCAAACAGGAAAATATCGGTGACGATGAAGTTGCGAAGACACAAGAAGGGCGCGTGGAAAGGGAGTCAGCGAATGTGGAAGGGGAAGCTCGCACAGAAGCATTGGCAAAAGTGGGAATATCCGAGGCAACCGAGGATCAGGGTCAACGCGAAGATGTAAAGGCATCTCCTGAGGTTCCGGAGACCACTACAGAGACAGGAGCTGATTCGGTACAAGTGTCTTAGGAAGGCTCTTGGAGTTTCGAACTACTTCAACGAGGTGAGCCCGAGGTCTATTGATCACGGTGGTATGGGAGTATAGGAGGACTGAGGACATCGAAGCAAGGCGCATATGAAATGTCATTGGCGCCTCAACAAAGGACGGAGCGTTTACGAAAGGGAATGCTGTATGCTGGAGGGGAACGCGAATGGCGTTGGAATAGGACGAGTGTCGGCTGGGCTGGTCCAAAATGAGAGGCGGCTATGGTCTGGCGGCAACTGTTGTCATCTTTAAAATCGGGATATGCATTGATACCTTTTCAATGAGCTGAGATATGTTTACCTCTAGAAGCCACAGGGGCTCATTAAAAATGAAAGAAAAATGAGTCCTCCACAGCGGTAGCGAAGCAGTTTACTGCGTTGTCACTCTCAAGACTACCTTTCCCCCGCCTCTTCGTCCCCTGGCCTCGACAAGCTCCATGGCAGCTCTTCCGTGATCCAAGTCGAAACCCTCCTGGACGTATCCCTTTAGTTTCCCTGCTGTTACCCACTGCGCAAGAACATCCAGCTCCTCTCCCGAGGGTCTTACGACGAAGAAGTCAACGTCGACACCAGCCCTGGAGCAGTTACCTTGGATCGCCTTGGCTGTTTCGGGCCCATAGGTCTTGATCGGGGCCACAATTGTAACCACACGTCCACCAGGGTTTATGATGGTATTGAGTGCTGGTGTGCTGGTGAGGAGGAGCGTAGAGAGTGTGTCCCCTCCAATGCAATCGACTACTAGGTCCACTGGTGGGAGAGATTGTGAGACGAAGGTGGCTGGGAGGGAGGTATATGCTTCAGAGGTGTAGTCGACGACAGTGTCTGTGGGTTTGTCAACAAGAGACATTATCAGAGGTGCAGACGCAGAGCTGCATGTTGCGATTACGGGAAACCCAGATGCTTTGGCGAGTTGGAGCGTCGGGAGGCCGACGGAGCCTGCGGAGCCCAGAATGAGGACTCTTTTGCGCAAGGCAGCTGGCGGCGGCAATGGTTCTGGTGATGAGAGAGGTAGCCTGCCGTGCTTAAAAAGTGCTTGGTAAGCTGTCAAGGCTGAGAGCGGGAGCGTTGCAAGTTGTTCCTCCCATTTCTTATCCGCCATAGTGGAGCTGTTTGGGTTACTCGGCGCAAGGCTTAGCTCCTTTTCATATACAAGTGTATATGTGGCCGCTGCGCCATCACGATCGAAGTCGAGAAGAGCCCAAACCTTGTCTCCGGGTGAGAATTTTGGTTCTGATCCTGACTTGGGAGAAGTGAAAACATTGTCCACGACGCCTACGACATCGTGGCCTGGGACCGCACCACCGTATTGTTGGAAGCGCGCCGGCTCGAGGATCTCTTGCCAGGTTAGTTCGCCTCGAGTTAAGGCAGTAAGCAGGACACGTATCAAGTAGACATGTTGCGATGATGCGGAGAAATCAGTTGTGTGGGTACGAGGTTCAGGGTAGTCTGCCGCTGTGTATTCCAAGTTTGACGGAGTGGGCGGGTTGCTTGGAAAGCGAAAGGAGAACTCTTGTCCGTGTGGAACGCCAGGAAGGTGAAGGGCTCGCATGGCGAACAAAACAAGAGTGTAGAAGCTTGGGAGTCATCCACAAATGAGACGGGACGAGACCCCTTCCACCCTCCTTTCTCTTTCCTTATATACTTCCCAGCTCTTTTATTGTCGACTGCCCTCGGAGATGTTAACAGCGCGGAAAACATGTGTTAGTCATCGGGAGCAGGGATGTATGGTTCATTTGAATTCTCTCTTGTCGACCATGCTGCAGATGTAAATGCCATCTAAGCGGAGGAGAAGGTGCGCTTTGCGCTCAGTGTGGAGGATTCAAACTGTGGAAAGGTTTTGACAGAGCAGCAGAGGGTAGCCCGTAGATCGGAGGCGTTGATGCAATGACGACGAGAGACTCCATCTAATCAAGACCAACTCGTCCGGAGCACATGTTCCTCAGCCAATGACAAACGAGAGACGGCGTTGCTGATAACCAGTCAAGACAAGAAATGTGGCTGGGCTGTGCTTGAAATTAGGCCATCGAGCCCCAATCACCTGTCATCGTGTGCCTGTATCACGCCGTATCAAACCGCCTTGTGTTAATCGTGCAGCTTCAGCTTCCAGTAGTTGCTTCTTTCACCACGCAACCACTTTCTTCTCCTTCTTGCTGTGCTTTGTATTCTTGTTTTTTTCTTTCTTTTCCTTTTCTTCCCTGCATTTAGCGGTCTTCTGACAGCTCCTGTGGTTGTAGTGCGGCACGCGGGACATATTTCTCCCTGCCGACTCCGGCCTCCTTTCAACCTCTTCACTTGCCAAACCTCCCCTCGGTTTCTTACTCACTCTACCTTATTGCGGTCTATTGTATCGGATTGACGCAGCGTACGGTGTCCCGTCGACTTGTGTTAACACGACTTCAGAAGACTACCCTTTAGATCTCTTCCATATTACGAGGTCTTCTATCCCCTCCCGCTCCTGCTGGTTCCCCCGATCTGCCTGTCCGGATCCTCGGGGGTCAGAGTACCAGCATGCCTTTTTCCGAGTACTTTACGAGTCCTACATCCCTCTACAATCGACAGATTCTCAGCGGACTAGTCTCTCGTGACCAGATACCCTTAGCCAACGATGCCTTGCAGATTCTCAAGAAGGCCGCTCCTCATTCTGGCCACCCGAACTTCGCACATCTTACCCTCCTTGTTTTCGAAGCCGTGTTGGAAGTGGTGTGCGTTAGTTTACCGGGATACATTGTGGCTAGACAAGGCATGTTCGATGCGGAGGGGCAGAAGTTGATGGCAAATCTGAACGTCATGCTGTTTACTCCGTGCCTAATCTTCACCAAACTGGCGTCACAGCTCACGGCGGAGAAGCTGGTAGATTTAGCCATCATTCCGGCAATCTTTGTCGTTCAAACCTTGGTATCATACCTGTGCGCCTGGACCATTGGGAAAGTCATGAAGTTCAAAAAGAGACAGGCCAACTTTGTGATTGCCATGGGGGTGTTTGGCAACTCCAACTCGTTGCCCATTTCGCTGGTCTTATCCTTGTCTAAAACACTCAAGGGGCTACATTGGGATAAAGTCCCCAATGACAATGACGAGGAGGTTGGAGCTCGAGGTATTCTTTACCTACTCATATTCCAGCAGTTGGGTCAACTTCTTCGCTGGAGTTGGGGCTATAATGTCCTGCTTGCGCCACCAGACAGCTACACCGAAGCAGAAGGTGGGACGAAGAAGGAAGACCGCGTTGAACGGGGACGAGGAGAATATCGCGAGTATAGCGACGATGACCGCGAGAACCGTCGGCTTCTGAGCCCCAGTTATGACGGAATCAGAGATATGAGTGAGGATTTTGAGTACTATGATGGATACGAAGTCGAGGACGACGACGAGACTCGGATAGGCACCGAATCGCCTACCACAGCGAAGTCGGATGGTCTCAAAACTCCTCGTACTCCGCACAACAGGTCATCGAGAAATTCTCCCAACCGGCAGCCGAATGGCACTGCTCACGAGACACCGGATCTGCTGCCCACTCCTACCAACGGGATGGTGCAGCCTCATCACAACCCCGACTATCCTGCCTGGCTGGAATACCCCGACAATAAAAAGTATGATGAGGATTGCGGAGGCCTTCAAGGACACATCAATCGAGGAAGAAACGTGGTACGATATCAACTCTTGAAGATCGGGCATGCGATTCGGATGAGGTCTAGGCGGGCCTTTGACTCCCTTCCCAAGCCGGTGCAAAAAGCCATGTCATACACCGCGTTCAAGACTCGAGCTTTCCTGGCAGGCGTGTGGGAATTTATGAACCCGCCGTTGTGGTCGATGTTGGCTGCCATAATAGTTGCGTCTGTGCCCTACCTACAGCATCTCTTCTTCGATAAAGGAACTTTCCTCGCAAATTCCGCCACTCGAGCAGTGCAACAAAGTGGTGCTGTCGCGGTGCCCCTGATTCTTGTGGTGCTTGGAGGAAACCTTGCCAGAAACACCATCCCAAAGAATCAACCAGGAGATATCACGGATCCGAAGGAAGAGAGCAGGCTTCTGTATGCTTCATTGCTGGCGCGTATGGTGTTCCCGACGCTTTTGATGGCACCTTTTCTCGCACTGGTCGCCAAATACGTCCCAGTCAGCATTGTCGACGACAAGATCTTCATCGTGGTTGCTTTTCTCCTCACTGGGGCTCCATCTGCTCTCCAGCTGAGCGCCATTACACAGACAAACAACGTGTATCCCACGGTCATGTCAAACATTCTCTTTCAAAGCTATGTGGTTTGGATTTTGCCATCCACACTCATTCTGGTACTTCTAGCTCTGGAGACGGTTGAGTGGGCCACCAATTGAAATCTCGGGCACACACCGTTTCAACAATGGGCATCGGGAGGTATCTGGTTGTTTAACTCAAATTGTCGACATTGCTTGACTGGTTATGGGGTTCTGGAAACGGTGACTCGTGGCTCGGACGGGTTGTATGGCGCTGCGAGGACCGTTAAGGAAACATTGTACCGATACAGGCGTGTACGGATGGGTGGTGCGATATGGAGAGACGATCTCCAGATAGGGCAACAAAAGAGACGACGATCAATATTCTCATGTACAATGACTTCATTCTATGCTATAATAGAGGAGGAACACCTGATTGTGGGGTTTCTGGGCTATGTCACTATGGCTTTTTTCACTAGTCGACGTTTCTGTCTGGCACAGCGTCGATGTTGGATCAGCTCATGGTCCAACTCAGTTGGACACTGGCTAAAGCCTCATACGTATCCGCTGATGTAGAATGACGTCGGAGGGGGAAGTTGGAGGCACTTCAGGGGGGCAATCAGGGGAGTACTGGGAGCACTCGGGGCCAACAAGGGGGGCTCATTTCTGGGTGCGATGAATGGCTTAAGCTCGTCCTGGTCAAAGCTAGGTTTGCCCTAGGGACGCCCAGGGACGCCGAGGGGACCAAATATGAGGTTTGGTTTAAATGCCATATTGTGTGCTGTACCGAGTACAAACCTCGCACCAAGCTCCTTCCTTTGTTCTCTCTTCTCTCCCACGTCGGCAGGAGGTGCCCTATTTTGCGCCCTGCCTATCTGCCTGGAAGTTAATTTAGGTGTTGGCCTACCGAGAGCACTCCCTGCTTTTCTCCCTGATACCTGCACACCTAGGCTGTCAGCCTAGCAAGCTGCCTACCAGGGCAAAAATCTCATGCCTCACTTTTTCTCTTCTCGAGGGATGGAACTAATGCATCGCAAGCCTCAACCCACGTAGCTAAGCCTCACGTACAGGGTATTTGTTCACACACGCGTCCACCACACACCCACTACTCCAGCCCATCGAGCCATCCACAGACTTGCATTGAACGTATGGAGTATCGTAGAAGCTGATCGACACGTTTTATATCCACTAAGAGCCTGGTTGGGTTTTTGTCTATCTTTTGCTACTGTATCAAAGATCTCTGTGCCTGAAGACACATCATCATTTCATCTTTTACCTTGACCTTCAAATATTCGGGGCATATCCCCACCCTGGTTTGAGCGCAGGAAAAAAAACATCCGCCAACCTCAGCTCAGTTGCTCAACTTTGCCTGAAGCTTAGCCGCTCCCTCCGTTTGCCCTGCCCTGGCCTTGCCTCCCGATTTGAGGTTTGTCACCCCCCGGCAAGCCCAAAAAACGCCGTGGTTGCTCAGCAGATCCAGCATCTTGCTTTCCGGTCAAATGAGAAGTCGAGAGACAAGAAACATCTTCCAACAATTGATTGCAACTTTGGGCCTCATCCCCCGTTTCTCCACCACCGGCTCACGCTCTCGTCGTCACCTCGCCTCTTCCTCCGAACGAGCCCTCACGAACACTGGTCCTCACTCCCTCCTCCTATCGAGTCGTATAGACCGGTCAATCACCGTCTAGACCTTTCTTTCACGCTCGTATCTTGTTTCGTCTGTTGTCACTCCTCTCCCGAGTCGCATGCCGCCTTGACGGAGTCCATATCCTCGCGCGATTGCATGCGCACGCCGGCCACAGAATATTACCTACACACACCCCTCCAACCAAGTAGGGAATCACCACCACCTTCTTAGTCACCATGGACGACTCATCACCGCAACAGCCGTCCTCTCCCGAAACCTCAAAATTCTACGAACAACCAGCTTCAGAGTCAACCTCTTCCTTCATGGCTTCACCGACAGCTTCCTCCCCACAATCTCCCTCCAGGCCCCCTTCGCTGGGCTCGCCAGGAAACAGCATAAGTCCTACCATGAACCCCTCCTCCGCCCCGCTAGGCCCTGTCAATGCAGCGAGACGACCTGGCCCGCTGCCTTCACGGGCGAGTGGGTTGAACTCTGATATTCAGGCAAAGATGAAGGCCTTCTCCCTATCTCGGCAGGGTGCACCTCCCACAAAAGCACAAACTGCAGGGTTTACCAGTCAACAGCACGGTGCTTTTGTAGGCGGCGCGTTGACAGGAGCTCCTCCTCCTTCCCCGAACTCTTCTGCAGCCAACCTTCGACTACCCCCGGGTATGCAACGACCGAACGCGCCAAATTTTGGCTCCTCGCCTTCCCCGATTCCCGGCAGTCCTCGAGTG